TAGAAAATGTCAAAATTAACTGTTTTTTTTTTCACACGAGTAGTTTCTCTGATTCTTTTATTGCGCATAAGTGCAATGTTTAATAGTTAATAGTTCTGGATTCTTATTAAAGAAATGAATTGATTCTGATAAGTATGATTTATTCGTACATATGTATTTTACATCGCACTTGAATACAATTGTTAGTTTGTTGTCACTATTGCGTTTCTTTACTGATTCTAAAATATCATCATAGATTCCATCGTCGATAAGAAATGTTTGGAATATGTCCTTAGTGATCGCATGTCGAACAGCGAATTTAATTTCTCTCAATTGATTTGCTTGTTGTAAAATGGTTTTTATAAAAGCAATTGTGGTGGTGCCAGTGGCCTCAAAATCAACAAGTCGGTATAACATAAATGTAAGTGACTCGAGCGATTTTAGATTTTGTAGAATACGACAGATATTGTCAACAAAAGACAGATTAAATGGATTGACAAAGCGAGATGATGAAATTTTCACTGTTTTAACATTTTTTAAATGTGAAATTGTATCGATCAAATTGGTATCGAATCTGAATGAAGGACCAATATCTATTTCAAGATTTTCGATTTTAACATTGTTGCCACTTTGTACTCGATTTACTAATACCGAATCGGAAGGTGAAATCTTTTTAACATAGAATTCATTCAGATTACTAAAGTTCCTCACAACATTTACGATGCCATTGTCCAAATTTGGACATTCAAGTATTTTTAAATTCGAATGCAATTGTAAAAATGTATATATTGAATTGAAAAATGATTCATTTGTCATATGAGTGTAGGTATTGTAATCGAAACGTGCTTCGACCAATTTTGGAAATGCATTTCTTGGTCGAGTAAATGTGTCGAAGTAATTCAAACCAATGAATTTTATGTTTAAAATCTCAAGTTCGGTGCAAATGGAGATTATGTCAAAAGTTGACGAAATTTGAACGTGCATCATGTGTAGTGTATTTAATTTTTCAAATAATGGACGACATTCATACAATGTTTGTTCGTTCACATCGAAACAATCAATTTTCAATTGTTTTATATTCTTACAATATTTAACGATCAGTCTTAGATAATCATTCTTATTAGTTAGCCATGGTGATAATAGGGACAACGATGTCATGAATTGACCGAAATTGCTGAGAAAATGTTGTACTTGTGATAATGTTGGATCTCGGGTCAATTCTAAATCCAAAATATCAACATTTTTCCATTTATATTTTCTTGAAAAGGCTTCATTGCCGATACTATTGAAACGACTACAAACATTTACAACTGAACTGAATGTGGTAAAATGTAATTTTTTGAATACTTCACGTAAACAATCATTATTGAGTGCATTCAAAATGTTTCGCGATGAACCTGGCTCTGGCAATTGTAGCAATCGTTCGCTTGCATCTAAAACTATGGAAGTCATCTCTTCATCTTGTTCTATGACATGGTCTGTGTATGATTTAACTTCCATCCTTATATCGTTGGCATATAGATATCCTGCCGCAATTAGTTGGTCAGCAATTGATTTATCATCAGCCTCTTTATCTTCCTCGAATTCCACGAAACCGGTCAGAGGACCGTTTCGCATGTCTTTGTTGTATCCAATGTATTGAACATTTCCGAATTGTCGAAAAAGTTCGTACTGTTTTAACGAGAACTGAAATTCACAAAATCCATAAGAAAAAAAAAAAGATTTGTTTTTTGTTTTTAAAGGAGTTGGTGAAATCTATAAGGTTGTCTCTTTTACTCGCATTAATATGCATATTTAAATTTGACATTGGAATCAAATTTTCACCAATTCCTTTAACTTCGAATCAAATAATCAAATAAAAAAAATTAAATCATGTATAACTTACAATCGAAGACATTGGAGACACACAAATCATTTTCGATTTGGGTTCGTATAAATGTTCATCCAAAAGTTTACTCATTATTATAGTAGCTCAGACCAAAAATGTTGAAATAATATTTTCTATTTATTACTTAAACTTGAAACTGATTTAACAAAATATAAATACTTCACTTCAGAGAGAGTATAAATGGTATCTATTCAACTATTTTTTTTAACTTCACCACTTGAAAAAAACTTGCTAGCTTTTTGAGATATTTTCTTGTTGACGTTCGACACCAGAATAACTACTTGTTTTTCACCTTCAAACCGATTAAATACGATACATGAGTTTTAAGTTAATGATTCGTTGGAATATTTTACCTGCTGTCATAAATGACAGTTGGACTCTGTGTCCAACTATCAATTGGAATTATTTGTTTATGAATGCCGATGTATCCATTTTTCTCAGAAGAGAAATAAGCATATTGATATACATTCGATGGAAGTTTTATTACTTTTAATATGTTTTTGTTTTATTGTAATACAAAAGTTATTGTTTGTTCATAGGCAAAAGAAAAAAAAAATAGACAAAGAAAGAATATTAGAATTTTTTTTCACTGAGACATTTATGACTATGTTCAAGAAAAAAAACACAAAAAAAAACAAATGAAACATAATGGTAAGATAGAGTCTGATCTATATACTCAAATCGATCAATAAGCAAAACAATAATGCGATTCAATGTGAAATGCACTACGACCCCGACAAACCATCACCTCTTCGTTAACTGTCTATTCAAAAAGTCGGATTTTATGATAACTTTTGATATTTCGGTGAATTTGTTCAAAGTTTTTTTGCCTAAATTCAGGAGAAACGATATTCAAAAAAATGTTATTTCAATATATATAAAAAATACATAAACATTGAACGCATTTGTTTAATTGAGGGGCCCTCACGCATATACGAAAATTGATACATGCAAGGCAGCAGAATTCAAAAGATGTATTATTTATATAACGTTCAGTGGCTTTGTTTTGCTGGCACAACTGCCTATCGAGCAATAGTTATTCGATTGCAATAGTTTCAATTTGAAACAAAAGTCTAGGAAATAATAACATATTTTTGTAACAGATCAAGTTGAAAGTAAGCACATTCTGCATTGGAGACATCTTTTTCTTCAATCAACGAATTGAATATTCAAGAATGTGATTGAGCAGCGTTACTTTTAGTATGTATTTTAACAATATTTTTTATGTATACTGAATTCACTTTTATTTACATTTTTCTGCTTGCGTCTTGACGAATATTAAATTATGCTGAGCAAAGAACTGTGCTGTTCATTTTGTCACTTCAATCGATTTATGTAAATAAGTTGAATCGACTATCTCATTTAAGTATGTTTTTTCAATTAATCTCTGTGTGTTAAAAATTGATCTAATAAAGTTATAATTTCATATCAAATATTTTAAAATGTTGTGCATAAATTTGCATTTCGATATTTAATTCAATTTTATTTATAAAAAAAGACCAATGAAAAATGTTGTCCGATCGCATTATGAATCTTATCCGAACGATTGCCGGAAATGAGGGTTTCGTGGATTATAAAATCGACGGATCAAGTCATGGCGATAATTTTGTGGCAATTATTACTGCTGTCAAAATATTCGGAATAAAATCAAATGCTAAAGTTGAAGAATTGCATTTAATTTGCAAGGATCCAACTGCAAATGAGTCACGTAAAAGATACTCCAACTATGCAATGACATTTAGTCACTAAATTTACGTCTACTCAAAATTATTGCCGGCATTCGTTCGATTCCAGACTGAAAAAGGTTTCAGCAAAGTGGATTCATTTCTTTCATTTCCAAAAGTGTACGCCACTGAAATCGATGTAAAAAGTGACACACTCATCTTGATCATGGAAGACATGAGATCGAAAAAAGAAGTAATGTTACCCAAAGAAGAAGTGATTCTGCTCGATTATGCATTAACGATTATGCGAGAGCTGGGCAAATTTCATGCTATTTCATTTGCAACCCAGACCAGAAACCCGATGAATTTAAAGAGTTCACGCAGATCGAGGACACATTTGTTCCAATTGTAATCAACGGAAGAATGAGATCTTTCAACAATAAATCGCTTGAAAAAGCAGCGAAGGTGCTTAAAAAACCTGAACACAAACAACTTATGAATTTTCGTGAGAATTTCCCAAATATAATCAGCAATTTTTTAACTGGTGAATCGAGCAGGGAATTTGCGGAAATGCGGAAATTAAAAATTGGTAATTTTGTGTCTGATTTATCTTTCAAAAGAAGAGACAGTTGAAGTGGATATGATTGGTCGATGGGCAATTTGATTGCATTTTTAAATATGCCGATAACGATCTAATCCTATGTTTTTGACACAATTTCAATTTTTCTTACAAAATATTTTACATTTTTGTACAATTTCGCTATATTTTGTAGGATGATCGATGCAAAAGTGTATGTTTCCTTGATTGGCAACTTACAAAATATTGCTCACCAGTACTGGACTTGCATTAAAACATTTTCTCGATAACAGATAAACAATTCCGAAACGATCACTGCGATAACCTATTGGAAGTGTATTAGGCATCGTAGAATACAAAAAGTGGGCAGCGACCCAAATAAACTCTATATATTCAACGATTTACAAGCTCAGCTCCGGAAATTCGCCAAATTTGCACTTTTATGTGGTCCAGTAATTTTACAATTCAAAGTGGCTGCTGCAAAGGATATTAAAAACTTGGACGATTACTGTGAACTCGTTGAAAATGGCGAAAACCCAGATTTGATCAATCAATTCGATGAAACAACACTACAAAAATACAGCATATTGATAAATGACCTTGTCGAAAAATGGCCCGATGTTATTGAATTTGGATATATTAAAATTCAATAATTTATTCTATTACATCTTATCCGTCCGGGTTTTGTCCCGAAAATCCGTCCCGCCCGAATGGCCTTAGTTTTGAAAGTAGTAAAATATCAATAAAGTGCTTAACTTTTTCCCATTATATTGGTGCATACACAAACTTTTAATTCATATTTAGACATCAAAACAAAAAATTCTATTAAATAAATTGTAAAAAGAAGAAAATTCTGGAATCGATGTGAAAACCAAATAAAAAACGTATCTCATATTGTAAATATAATTTTTATTATTTTTTATTTCCGTTAAACATGCAGTTTCCTATGGTATATTATACTGAAAAGCATTTATTTCTAAATTTATAGCTTAAATTTCACACATTTACAAATGTATTTTTTATTTTATTTTTTTCTTCGTTCTCCTAATAATGTAGATGTTTCTGGCGATAAGCACACTTTATCACAATTTCTATTCGGTGTACCGTTTGTGTCTATGTTCATGTCGATTCAATGGTTCGTGAATAGATTGGACAGAGATTCACCGATGTCGTCAATTGTAAAAAAATCACCGGCATCTGTGGACGGTGTAAATCACTGTGATCCATTGAATGGCTATGAATTAGCTACCAACGTCTACCAAATAAAAAGTGTATGTATGTTTGTATCTGTTTTTGAAGGCATATTTGGTGACAATGGGTTGAGTTTCTCTAGCTTATTCATTTTATACAATGCAAAACGAAAAAAATTTGAAACTAGAACACAACCCGAAATTTAGACTTGCAATTTCTTCTTTCCACACTAACAAAACAAAAAAAAAACTTCTTTATTCTTATTATTTCTATTTTTTTTTTTCGTGTAGTCGGTATAATTTTCTTTCATTTTATGTGAGTCTAAGTAAGTAATATACACAAAAAGAAATTTCTGCTGAGCAAATAAACAAACAAAATAAAAACCATCATGCTAATGATTGTGAGTACACAGTTTGCATGGTATTGAACGGAACGATTTGTTTGGGTGCAAGAAGCGTTCGATTTTTATGATTATTGAATAGTATGGGCGTGTGTGATTAAATTTTGCGAATGAATATGGGAACTGTTTTATGTTCCCTTTGCACCTAAACTGTAAGTAAGTATATATTCTAATGACTCACATTCATCTAAAAAGTCTTCTATAAATAAGATCTTATGAACGATATTATTTGATTAAAACGAGGCCGCCCAACACTTTGCAATGATACTGAATAAACACTTGTTTTTTTTTGTATTGGTGCATAGTTATATTGAATAAGCTTAACGGATAAATTGTGGTAAGTAGCAGATTTGTTGCTGAAATATATATTTTTTTGTAGATAAACAGTATTTCAAACAGTAGCCAGAATTATCGAGTGTAAGATAATTAGATATTTGGTATATATAAAAGACAATGAAATGTAAAATATCAAGAGACACGTATTTATAATCTCGTTGAAAAAGAAACTCACTTAAATTTTATATGAAAAATAAAGTCCCATTCATACAACATTCGGCATCAACTTCATTTTTTTCATTTTTGTTTTCAAAAACCAGTTTCATTGACCCTAATAAAATTCGCTTTCCTTTTAACGAACCAAAGGGGAATTGAATTTTAAAGATTTAAGGTGTTTTCTTTGCCTCAACTTACTAAATAAAAATATTAATTATTTTGGAAATTAATATTACAGATCTACATTTACATTATAGTGTACTAAAATATAGATAATTGATGTTGTTACTTTCGTTTGTTTCTCATTTTTACTCTCTATGTGTGAATGGAGAGTGCTTTTTATAGACGCTTGAAATCTGAAAATTTCATGTATGTCCTCTATCTACAAATCGTTAATACATTTTAGACGAACATCCGTTTTTCATTAATTTATCTATTTTACTCTATGAATCATCTCATTTTATGGCTTCAATGCGACGAAATTATTTATTTGGTTGAAATTTTATAGTTTTTCTTTTGTCAAACAAAAAATTTTCCGTGTGAAAAAAAAAACAGCGAATTTTGATATTTCTGGAATCGACCATAGTCGCTTAGTAATAAATCAATTATTTTGGAATATTTTGGCCGGCGTTCGACTATAATTACATTTAAGCGTAACCAAATAATCTGCTGTAGTCGAACATTTATGAACTTTTTACGTTTTAGCAAATGTTAATTTAAGTTGTCTATTTTTCCAATCAACGGCCTCAAATTGGTTCATCATAAATTTTTCTCGCACACGGAATATTTCCGTTGTCATCAAAGATTTGTCCTTTCGACTGAGTTCGTATGCATTCGGTCATCATTGAAAAAAAAAATATATTGAAACTGCAATAATAAATCCTTCTTCCTTAGCATTTACGGTATATGTGTCTATAGTTTAAATATACAATTAATCAACAATAAAAATGTGCTTGAAACATTTATGCATTCCTTTTGTATATGTGTGTTTGTATAGTATGTGAGTTATTTTTGATAATATTCATGGATTCATAGCTGCGGAGAGTATAAGCGAGCTGGTGCTTAATGGCCCATTCATTTTTTTTTTATTCTTCATTTTATCATCAATCGAAATTGCCTAAACTCTATTTAAATAATTTCATTCTATAATAGTATATTTCGATTGAACCTGTTCGTTTTTTCTACAATTCGAAATAATAATTATTATTTAGACAATAATAAAAAATAATTTTTTTTTATTAAGATATCTTTTGTTGTTTCGTTTGTTTGTTATTCACAATAGTTTTTTTTTTATTCAAGCACACCAAAATGAAATTAATTTAGCCAAATAGTCGCGATGACCAATTAATTGAATAAATAGAAATAAGCGCCGCAATTTTAATGGCATATGATGCAATCGATGGTGATACCATTTGGTTCGCTGAACTTGTATCTGAACCTGAATGAATAATGAGAGAGGGAGAAATACCTATGATGAGATTAAGTATACTGTGAAATTTGTGACATTAAATGGTGTATGACTTACCTTTAATTGGTATATCTTCTAGAGTTGAGTACACAGACCATCCATTAGTGTTTTTGGATTTAACACGAACATGCCAATCGCCTGGCGTCAAAGTAAGCTTATGTCTTATCCTAGAAAAAAAAGAAAGAAAAAAACCATTTAATCATATGCATAAAATAAATCACAATTGAATCGAATAAATGTGTATTCTTACTTCCAAATACCAGAATGTCCTGGGCTCTGATCAATTACAGCTTCGGTTAACCAATTAGTTTCCTATAAAAGTGATTGAAACCATTCCATAAGCATATTTAATTGAATGAAAATATGTATCAACGATATGAAAAAAAAACCCCAATAAACTTACTCCTTTAAGTCGATAGTTCAACATGATCTCTTTAAGTGGTTGCATGCTACGAATGTGCCAATGGGTAACGATACTGTTTCCATCAGTTTCAACTTGATGTAACTTTGGTGGTTCCGGTGCGTCTGTCAAATCAATGCTAACATTTTCATTGCCAATTGAATTTTCAACTTTACATTCATATACACCCAAATCTTGTGGCTTAACATCATTCACCACCAAAATCGATTGCATTTGATTTTGTGATGTTGGTGATGTTTTTGGTGGTAGAATAATGTACTTTGAACGTTTTTCATGCGAAGCACCAGTTTGCAAAATTTGTTGATTTTTGCTCCAAATAACTTGACTTTCAATTGATGAATCATAATCACAATATAATTCAGCATTGTCACCGTCTTTTGTATTAATCACTGAACGTAGAGCCGAAACACGAGGTGTGTCTGAAAATGAAATTGTTAAAATTTTATATTAAAATCGATTCCCGCACAAATAATTTATAAATAAATGATTGATTCTTCCAGAAAAAAATGCACTCACATTGAATATTGATTGTAACAACAGCATGTGCAGTTCCATCAGCTCCATCATCGGCCAAACATTGATAAACACGAACATCATCATGGCTTGCTTTTTCAATTGTCAAAATGCCACCATTTATTTTAAGATTATCGTTCGACTCAAGACGATTTCCACCGGCCGACCATTTGAAGACAATATCATTTTTCGCACCACTTGCTTTGCATTCGATTTGAATTCGATCATTTTGACGATAAGTTATTGAACGTCCGCTCACATCACGTTCACCCACAATGATATGCGCTTGCAAATTTGACAAAACCACCAATTTTGCTGTCATATTCATTTTATTTGGAAACAATTGACAACTATACACATTTTGATCTGATTCTTGTACATTGGTTATTGTTAACGAATGATCTTTTACGGATACGATGAATCGATCATCAATTGTGGAACGTTGGTTGCCAACAAATAAAGGTTTTCCTTGTACATTCCATAACACCACATTGTGTGCTGCAAAAAAAGGTGATCGACAACAAAAAAAAACCAGAAGAAATTAGTAAGTTCGGTCGAATAAACGGCAACTTATAGGGAGTGACTCATAATAAAAGGAACTGAAAGAATGGGTGTTTACCTGCAAAATTTTCAACATCACATCTTAGTGTTACCGTTTCACCAATTCGTACAGTTTCGGTGTAGTCGGACAATTTGAAAAATGCTGCAGCCGTATTAACATTTGTATCAACACTGTTACTATTTATGTTGCCCTGCTTTTGCACCGAATCTGACACATCATCGTCATAGTCATCGTCGCCTTCACCATCCTCTATATTATAAACGAAAGAAAGAAGAAAAAAACATCAGTCCAATTCATGTCATGGGGTTTTTCCTTGGTTCTTATTCAAATTACGTTGATAATCTGAATCCGATAGCTTGGCATCTTCCGATGGTGCAGACAGTCCTGAAAATCAATAGAGAATTCCATTTCATTAGTAAAATGTCATATTTAAAAGGAAACATTTAATTTTACACAAGAAACCATTAGCGACACACAAAAAACGATGGAATACGCAAAATTATGAGCTTAAATTAACGCCGGCATACGCTTAATTGAATCGAAATATAAATGCGTTTTGATCAATTGCATCTGTTACGACGCAATGATTGAGGCACTTAATTGATGTATTTGACTTAAATGAGCTACCATTTTTTTTTATTCAACGAACATTTTAAAATAGTTTTATCTGGATATAAATGCTCGCATTTTATTAAGTCCTTAAAAACAAACTCTCACAAAATACGCATATCATTGAAATGTATTTTTTTTATTCTCTCCAATAATCAACCGAATAACGATTAAATATAACTCAATTAATTGTTGCTGTATATATAAATATCCAAAATGAATTTATTGATCATAAATCGAATTTCGGTTCGGTTGAATGCATTTCGTGTGGCATAATTTTTCGATGTGTGTATATTTATATATCGAGATCATTTCCCATGCCGTGTTTGTGCATACGTGCTTGCCGACTTGTGCATGGGCCGGTATTCTCTTCCTTCATATCCGTTCAAATGCAAATTAAACTGTCTATTTACATTCTGTTATTGGTTCGGTTTTTTTTTTTCAATTTCATTGTAATCATTTCATTTGGTTCTGAATGGAATGTAAATATTTGTTAGAACTGGCTTTAAACTTTTGGAAAAACGTACCAATTCTAATTAGATTCAGTGTCTTTTTTTTCCTCTCTATCAACTTCGATTGTTCGAGTTTTTTCTCTATCAATTCTTCTCTCTCTCCATTTGATTACATGAAATGAGTTCTCAAAGTCGTGAGTTTAGGTTTTTTTTTTGATCAAAACGTAATTTGAATTCGGTTGATTTTTTTTTCAAACAACATAAAATATATGGGCGTTTGGCGTCAATTAAAATAAACGCGTCACACAAGTGCGTACACACAGCAACGCACAGACACACACACGCACAAAAAACCGATCGAATGCCATGCAAGCGAATCAATGGTAATAGGAAGAACGAAAAAAAACGTCATGCATAGAAAACTGAACAACAAACAAAAGTGCCGAATTTTTTTTCTCGTCGTTGTTGTTATTATATTGTTTGGGGAGAGTCAAAAAAACTGTTTTTTTTTTCCTCGAGATTGTCGCACGCATTTTTTCGGTATGACCACACAAAACTAAGTGATTAAATGGAAAATGCGAATGCAAAAGAGCGAAGGAGTGCAGTGGATAGAGAGAGAAAGAGAGAGGTAAATGCAACGCGGACAATATTTTCTGGTTGAGTAAATTCAAAAATTTACATAAAATGAGGGTCGGCGCATTGCATTAACCGTAATGAATGACGTGCGTGTTTGCACTCATGACAACGATGCTTTTAACTCATATCCCTGTTTGGATCTTCAGTCAATTCACTACATTTTGTCTCTTTTTATTTTCTCTATTTTGCGTCTTCGTTTCAAATATGCCAGTTGCCGGTGGCAAAACCACACTTTCGCGAAAATGTTCATTTTACAACTATGCACTTTAAATATGGGCGCGCACACGCTAAAACTTTACATTTCTTTTTATTTCTCATTTATTGCAATGTAAAAGTACAATCGATGTTTTGAAATCTTCGTTGTTCGCCACTATATCTGCAATCAATTCTAATTTATCCAACATACGGACAGTGGACGGAAGGAAAATTTAATTTTGACTTTCATGCAAATCCCGAACATTTTGTGTGAAATAAAGGATCGGACATAAATTAGGGCAAAGCATTAGTGAGTGAGAAAAATAGAAAAAAGGAAAACATGTTGGCTATTTTGCACTCAATTTAAAATGAATCGCGTAATATATTTTAAAGTTGCGGCAGAAAGCGAGAAGTAGAGAGAACAGTGAGAGATTATTCGTGTTTACCATATGCTTGGTCATTTTCACGCAATGTTGTCACTGACTTATGGGATTGCACGAAGAAAATGTACATAATTTTTGTTCCATCCTGTTGGAATTGTTGTGTAACAACGGAAAAATCAATGCATTCAACATAAAGTTTTATATTCTCTTCAATGTGCATGCGATTGTCGACAATGAATCGGGCCCGTTGAATGAATGCTGTCTGCATATCACAAAGACGAAACACATTTATAGCAAATGCAATGAATATTTGAACTATTTTCTTACCGCGGAACACACAAGTCGGACGTAGTCATCTAGTCTTACAAATGTTATACGACATTTGCTTTGGCAAAATCATCGTGATTATAAAAGAAAAACGAAATTTTTGCATTTTTATTACAATAGCTGGGATATACTGTTGTTAATAAAAAATTTCCTTTTATTTTTCTTATTGTGGCATTTTCAGAGGTAACGTCAACCATAACGATGGCTTCGGTGCATTTAACACTGAATGAATACTTGCAACTTGCTTTTGAAATTGTTTTCGGGCTTTTCCAACATCAATTATCCGGAAGAATTTTATGCTCTATACATCGTCGGTATTCGTGGTTTGCCGCCCTCAAAACACACACTCACACACACATACATAAAATATTGAGTGCATTGGGCAAGCACCGAAAACGAGTTGAAATTATGTCATGTTCAATCCAAAAACACTGTGTTATCGTTTTGGACGCGTCGTGATTATTGTCATCATCATCATCATCACCATATCGAATAGCTTGGTTCCGTCATCGTCAATCGTCTCTATTTCTCTGTGTTATTGTTTTCGCTCTCATTCGGATTGATGAAAAAATATGGTGATGTGGTTTTGAGATAGTTTTCGGGTGTTTTGTGCGTTAAAGTTTTTCGTCTTCCATAAAATTGTGCTTGTTTTCGAATAAAAATAGATTTAAATATGAGTCATGCAAGGAGCAGTGAATAACGAGCACGAATTATGTCTCATATGCATTTCATTCTTCTCTCTTTCTTCTTGTGAGTAAACAACCCAGCATATTAATCAATAAATGGGTGTAGAGTTTTTATGGTTTCGATTCACTCCATTCCATTCAGCGGGCGATAAAGAATAGAGACATAGAGAGAGAGAAAGGGAATGTGCAATGCGAATAGAGAAATTGACGAGGAGATGGAATGAAGAGTTCAAGAGAGAAATATACATAAATATCGTAGCTATATGGTGTCGCATGGTTCACAATCACAGCAATACAATAATGTTTCCATAGCGAACCGAATTTTGTGCTCAATGTTTATATTTACTGTTTGGATCGTTAAGATTCTTTTCCCTGTTTCTTTTTTCCGAAATTCATCCGACATATCGGCATCGTCGTCGATTGCATTGAAAACAGCACTTTGCTTCACAATTCATTGTTGAAAGTTTTTATATATAAATATATAGTTTTTTTTTATTTATGCTTCTTTTCCGATTATTTTCGTCGATGACTTATTGGCTATATGAGAATGTATCACATTAAATGCACACCAATTGGTCTTTTATTTGCCAAGGGTTTGCTGAAATGTTTTGATGGTCATGGACATGGGAAGAAAAGGGGAAATGCTACGTATATCGACCCACTAAGTGAGTAGATTTTATTTTATTTAAGATATACATTGATAAAGACATCACCATTAAATAGTTACATAATCCTGGTATTGTGTTGATGAGAAAGTGAATTCTGTATGTGTGTTCTTGTGCATTTGCAGCCATTTATTGTCTGCTTGCCAATCATTTAAGTGAATAACAGTTTATTTACTGTTACGCATTGAAAGCAAAAATATCTCTATTGAGATATTGCTCTTCCCATAAATGCCAGTTTTAAAATCAATGCAAAAAAAAATAACGGTGACAAACATTTTAAACAAAAGAGAAAAAACAGAAACGAACAAACAAACATTTCTTGTCTAAACAGTGGAAAAAGTGTAAATGTAATTTGAGAGATGGAAAAAATTGCGCACACGTTGAACGCAATATGATATACCCGTTACAATGAATTTTAAAACGGACGTAATGTAGCAATTAATTGCTGGCATAAACGATTCTGAATGGAATATTTTTTTCTTTTTTTTTCAAGAGAAAGAATGTGACGACCGTCAGCGTTCAGCACTCAACAAATACACATGATATGCGCTAAGGGAACAATAAAAAGAAGAAAGGGAAACCAAAATGAAAATATTTAGTTTTCACAGCAAATTATTAAATTTATATGTTCGAATTGAATTTCATTTAGTTTGTGGGACAGAGCATTTTATATTGAACTCGTTTTTGTTGGATTGTGTGAGTGGTTGTTGAGCACCATTCAACAAAATACACCGAAAAATTTTGGTGAATATAATCCGTAATATTATCATCGAATGTCTAACAGTATTATTGCATTGAACTTGATAAAATAATTAAAATGATCGGGTGCGAGGAAGTGCGCGAGCGCGCACTTGTGAAGGCTAACGTATGTTTTCATTCAACTATTTCTCTCTCTCTATCTCTATCTTCCTGTCTCGATTACTTCATGTTGTCACACTTTCCAATTATCTATCTCACTTTATCATTTTGATGCGATACTATATCTCAATGAGTCGATGCTATTGTCGTGCGTGTAATTCTAGAATGATTTGAAGCATTGAGAGGAAAAATAACTGAAATTGCTGAATTTTGATATGATTATTATTTTGATTAACGCCCGACACATGAGACCCAATGTCATCTATTACACCGCACATAACCCTGATTCAATGTATCACTCTTTCTTCGGCCTCATTTCCGATTATTTATTTATTTATCTAGTGCTTTGTGTTTTTTTTTGGCTTGGCTTTGTTTCAATCGACCCTGATCCAAACATTAAATTGAACATTTTTTTTTCGTGTTTTTTTTTCTTTCGATATAGTCAACCCTTAAATGCATATATGCGTGCCAAGAATGCGCGCTGACCAATCAATAAAGTTGACGAAAGAAGCCGTACTCACATGCACCGCGGGAGTCATATATAAATTAATAATTTCTAAGCGAATGCATTTC